CAGATTCCTACGCTCTTGTTGTTCGAGTGCCACTAACAGCCGGTGAGATTTGAAAATCGCGTGTTAATCAAGTGTACCAGCGGATGCTTACGTTGTGTTGACTTTTTGAACCCTGAGTTAATTTTTTTTAGAGGACACGGAGCCCGTGAGGACGTTCCTCTTGAACCGTGTGAAGGGTGGAGACGCAGTTCACTTAAAGGGCTTTGAGAGTGAACCCATATTCCCCTCTTTGGCGGCTTTTGTGCACGACCATACTATTCACCAAGGTGCTCTTCCCGTCCTTCTCAAGCTGCCCATGAGAAGCGCACTCTCAAGCAACTACCTAGCCGGACAACAGAGCCCCTTACCGGGTCGCCAAACTTCCGGCGGCTTGGATTTCGGTGAGCTCTTAATATGTACCATCTTTATTAGCTTGGGCAGTGACAATCGGAGTGTCTTCATGTCTGACAAAGTCCAGTGCAAGTTGTGATCTTTTGTTCTTGCTTTTCAGTTTGTGACGTTTTGTATTTGGGAAGTATGGACGTCTTCCCACTGCAAGGGGAGTCAGCCGTCAGACGAGCGGTAGAACAGGTGCTCTCACAGGCTAACAATCCCACCAAGGGACTGAAGAAGAAATGTGAGGCAACGGTGCTCTGTTCAGTTGACAAGGGCATTACAATTGTCGACAAAAACAGCACCCGTTTCACAAAGAAATCAATCCCTGCCAACAAGATCCTCTACTGTGCCTACGATCCTGAGGAACGAGTGTACGCTTCAGCGTTGACGTTAGCGCCGAGTTTGCTAGGCCTCATTAAATTTCCATGTTTTTTTTTTTACTTTTAGATTCAATGCTATTGAATTGAAGAATCGTGGGGTCGCCGATTCTCTGTAAGTTCCTCTATTTCGGAAGGTTTAATCAGTACCTTCTCCGTTTTCCACCAACTTATTGTGGGAATGGAGCGGTTTTAAACTGATGTTGATAGTCCTAGGCGTGGGTGCTTAGAGGAACTTTAGCCAGAGCGGGCATAATGCAATGTGGCGGAACGTTGGAGCTCCGTCTGGACGTGGTACTGACAAAGAGTAGACTTTTTAAGACTTTCAAAATACCTCAGAAACTGCTTAAAAACAGCAGAATACCAATCTACTTGGAGAAATGTTCGGTTAAATTATTATTTAATTTAGGTGTCGGGGCCCGTTTTTCATATTTTCTCATACTACCGGCAATACTACTTAAATCGGTTACTTTGCATATAAGTAGTTTGTTTTTAGTGGCCACTAATCGAAAATGCTTGTAATAATGGGCTGAGTCTAATGAAAGCATTGTTTTTGTGTCTTCCATCCGCAGAATTTTCGCGATAGTTGTGAAGAAGACACGTTTCACCATGACAGAGCACGCAGCCTACGTGATGTGCCAATTGGAGCCGAACCAGCCGAGCTCAAATCTCATCAATTTCATTAATCAACACCTACCTGTCCACTTCCGTTAACGTGTGTTTGTGTTTGTGTGTGTGTGCGCGCACACAGTATGGGGATCAACTTTCACGATCACACTCTCTCGCATCCACACACTGCGCCTTCATAAAAGTTTCGATTTGCCCCTCTATTGCTCTCCTGCCGAAATTCGCCCATCTCCCGTTCAAGTGACCGATACCGTCCACTTTCCACCGTGATGATATGCATTGGTTAACAAACAAATTCGTTTCCTTTCTTCAAAAAATACCCCAACTGTGA